GCATCATAGGAAACAATATTGCCTATTAATGGATGCATCCGACATGAAAAAATACCACTATATACTGTAATCAGTTACTGGTTTACTAGATGGAAACATGAATTAGCCCTTTTTCCCTGAGCACAGCAGTGATTAACAGATATTTCTGCTCTTTTAATTGGCTTGTGTTATCATGCGCTGTATTTAACCAAAATTAAAAATGTTTGTGATTCAGTGTCCCTTTTTTCAGTTTGTCCTCTATTGATCAGTATGTTGCTGCATCACTGTCTAGTCCAGATCACTGTGCACAAAAGTGATTTGTTGATTTTAACCATGTTTGGCAGTTTGAAGCCATAATTAAACCAATTAGTTGCATATATTTCCAGTACATGTGTGGGAATAGCAGGAGGACTAGGTTTATGATAGCATTTTAAAGAAGATCTTCACTTTCTTCATCTATCATCTTCTTCTTGTCCATGATGGTGTTACAAAGGAAACGGGGAAACCCAGACATCCCTGTCATCCGTGACACCTCCCATCTCATTCTGTTGGTCCAAAGGTAATTCAGTGAGTCAGATGTGGAAAAAAGAATCCGTTTCATAGATTCTGAGTGTGCATTGGTGTCTCCTGCTTTTTTGAAAGGTTTCAAAGACCTTCTCCTGTGCCCAGGTATTTGGGGATCAAATAAACTTATTGAGTCCTTTTGATAAAGAGATGCAAAAACTCTACAGGAAGTATTGAAAAAAGGTATGAGACAGAAAAATTAAGGGCTTCATGTTCAGACGTGTTTCTTTATCTTTAATGTATCAAGAAAAAAGAAAATAACACACCAAGACGGGCATTTTGTGGACATTTTCTTTTTTTTTTGGAATTCTAGTGTTTATTTATTTAAGCATCCAAATAAATAGTAGTGTTTTGTTACAATGAAGTCTGAAAACATTTTTAACGGCAGTTGTACTCTTTATCAGAAAATTGCAAAGTTTTCTCTTAGGCTGTTAAGTTAAATAAAAAACTTTTTTGAAACTGGCCAGGGCAAAATGTCATTTGAAATGACCTTTACATAAGTTTTATATAAAAATCGATCTAATGGCATTCAAGGTAGGGATTCAAATTACATTCTAGATAGAGCTCTGATGACATTTTGTTGTTAATTTAATTTGGTTTGGATTCCTTTGATAACCAATTAAACATTTTAAAAGCTATAATGCTACATTTTATTTAGTACTAAAGATTTCACAGCCCTGCAAAAGAAACATTAAGACGTGGTGATACTTTAGGATTGACAAACGTAAAACAGGACTTTAACTTAGAAAGCCTGCACAGGAACCACAACCTGTTTTGAGCTAATCAGCAATACCTGGGTTGATAGCACTCATGATGTACATAATATTTGGTGCAGTCTATGTAAATTCTACTTTTATCTGTTAACTTTTCTCCATATGTAAAACTGATTTTCATATTATCTAATTTTGTCTCTTGTTTACCTCATAGTTAACATTAATTGTGTTTTTAAGCGTCCTGTCAAAACCACTTTTTTTGGTAACAGAAATATAAATGAACTTTTTTTCAGATTGCCTTAAAAATTAGGTGTTTTCTGTGATTTTAGAGTGTAAGGACATTTTTACAGGTTTAATTATAGTTCAGATTAGTGGCAAGGAAACATTAGAATCTCTGAAAAAATAATGCAACTGCTTTTGGCATTTTCTTAATCATATTTAGTTACTTTAACACAATTTTGTATGTCCTACCCTGCTAACATGAAACAATTGTGTTAAAGTTACTGAATATGATGAAGTAAATGCATAAAAACAATAGCATTTTTTTCATGTATTTTGCAAGCTGAATTAGTAAGAAGATCCAAGAGAAGCTTTTATTAAACAATATCCTTTCACAGGATGTACATAACATGAAAAATGGAAACATCTGCTGTAGTATTGCATCTTATCAGACACACTTGAAACCATAGCAATGGTGAAGGACAGCCCATTTTCAGCACAGCTAAAACCCATCAGGATTTTCATTACACAAAGGGGGCTTGCTTGAACTAATAATTATATGTGTCCTGATACAGTCAGCAAACCTCAAAATGTCACGTGTCCTGAGGCCCTTTTCACCACGATCTATGAAAGAAACAATAACCCGAGAGAAACTCAAGCACAACCTGAACCTATTGTGGCTTAACACTGACTCCATTTCTGTTGCCAGTCATTATTGGATATCAAAACTAAACATGCTTTTAAACTAAAAGCCTACCAAGTTAAGAGTTCCTTTTACTGAATGTTTAAACAGCTTTAATCATTTCAGAGAATCAGTCTTTACATAAACATGTATTCATCAGCGGTGAGCTCTACTATAGACCCACTCCGTCTTTAAGTTACAAACAGTTGCTGGTCTTGCTTTCCTATGGCTATCAAAATATCCTCACAGCCGTATTAAAGTGGAGCTAGAAACTCATAATCGGAAAAGTAAATGGAAAAGGTCAACAGTACGATGGATATAAAACTGTTAGTGAGCTTTTTATTATAAACATATCATGGATCACAAAAGTAAGAGCCTGCAGATTACGAGCATACAATATAGACTATTGATTTGTTTTGTGTATTGCAATAATTCATGCTCCTAATTTTGTTCACTTAAGGTTTGCATTTTAGGAAGTATATTTATGACCCTTTATGAAGGTTGGTAATCTCAAGTTTGTAAGTCATTTTTTTCATTACACCCGACCTGTTCAACACCTTGACTGGCGGGTGATTTAGCTGGAAGTAAGCCACATTATATAATGTAAACTTTAAATATAAAAAGATGCATTCCTCTGCAACTTTCCATTGCAGTCTAAAGTCTTAAATAAAATGTGTTCAAGATTTGTTAAAGACTTCAGGCTACTCTGTAAAGCTTGGACCTCAACACTAATTCTGACAATTTGAATTGAAAAAGCTTCCTGGATGGGAAGTGAAACATCTTCAGACTTGGAAGTCCAAAGGATTGTTTGTTAACTTTTTAGGAATGACAATCACCTGGATGACGGAATATTTACCAGATGTTTGTTCAGAGCTTTCTTCTGCTTTAAGTCTTGATTGTGCATTAAGTAGTGAAACACATGGAAATAATACTTTCCCAGCACTTATTTAAAGACTCTTTTCCCCGTTTTCCTCTGCCCAGATCTAATATTTGAAAAATGCACCAAGAGGGGGGCACTGTAGATTAGAGAACATGAGTTGGATGAGAGTTGGATATGAATTGATAAGGTATATATATGCTAAATAAACTATTTGAATGTTAAGCGAATAAATCTCTAAATCTTATTGTTTTTTTCCTTTTACCAACCAGTAAATTTATCCTTTTTTATAATTGTATTATTCTAATGTTTCACTTTTATTTTTCTTCAACTATTTGTGTGTCGTCTATGTCACAGCAGTGTACTTTTTTATTTTTTTTAATCTCATTTACAGTTCTTAAAAATGTCTTGCCACTGAAATGTGAAGGTAAATAAACATCCTTTGCCTTGTCCCAGTGTCATTAGGCAAATTTGCATTGTGTTCTTTTCATATCTGACTTTTCCAGATATATTAAAGACCAACTGATATGCAACATTTTCTACTAAAAATGCAAGTTCATACCCACTTTTAAGATGTCTTGCATCTCCTATGAAAGAAAAATAATTTGTGGTAATTTTCTATAATTTGGTCAAAGCATACTGCATGGAAATTTAGTTACATAACTCAAATGTACAATTAATTACCTCCACAATGGTAATGCTTTTAGGAGAGTTTATGTGTATGTTTCTCTGTCTATCTGTGTGTGCACGGGATAACTTGAAAGGTTATGATTCTGATGACATTTAGGTGATAATCCAGATCATAATCCTGATATAGGATTTTTTTAAAGGATTTTTTAACCTTGTGAAATAGTGATAGTCTGGTTCCCCCTTAACTCGAGTATACACTTAGAATTTGTAGTGAATTCTCCTTTTAGAGGTGCTTCTTAGAGAATAAACAGAGACCATTTTTTCTCTTTACTTTTATGATAAGGAATAAATAAACATTGGTTTCCTGACTTAAAGATGTAACTAACTTTTACTTAAAGTTCCATTTTATTGAGTTAGTTTTCATAACAATTTCAGTAACATCTTGCACTTCACTTGTAAGAAGGTAACATTTTATACTTTACCATTACTGGATTCTCAGTCATTGAGATCACAGTAATTACAAAACTGCTTAAATTTGGGGCTAAATATCTGCTTACGTAAGAAACCCAGAGAAAGACAATTTGTCTCAGATTTAAGCCTGTTTTTTGCTTGTACTTTTACATGACCGTTGTTTTTATTTATTTTTTCCTCCTCTGCATAGCAAACACGGGAGTGACCTGGTGCTGTGACATGTCAATCATTTGGTGGCAGCACCTGGTATGTGCCAATGTGATTCCTTACTAATGCCCCATTAGACTCTAGCTTGAGAGGGAATGTCAAACAATGAAGCCATTGCCAATGAAAAGTCATTCAGGATAAAAAATAATAATAATAATAATTTATATATATATATATATAAGTTTCACTAAATGGCTTAAAAAGTGAGGAATTATATTTGTATTTTAGGGATAATTTAGCCCCATTTAATTCAGCTAGGGAAATCAAATTACAAACCCACTGTCCAAGCAAATACTGAAATCTATTAGGACTAATTTGGGCGGTTTCTCTTAATGGTTTTAATTTTAGCTTGCTTTAGTTAATTGGAAACTGATCTGATTCGGATGACATTCAGATTAATTTACTATAAACACATCCGTTTTGCTAAAAACTCTTCCCCAGTTGCATCTGTTTTGAAAATTAAGTCAGTAAAAATCTCATTTTGAGAACTGATGAAAAGCTCAGCGGCCGTCATGCATGATGAGGGGAAACAGGGTGGTGACATGAGGACAGGAATCTACTGCCCACGGGTCTGTAGTCAGAGGCTGAAACAAAAAAAAATAAAAATAAATAAATAAAAAAGAAAGGAACACACTTTGACCTGCGCAGGACACCGTGAAGGCAGAATGCCTCGGCTGGGCAGATGGAGCTGCATGATTGACATTGGGATCTCGAAATGACGTCAGCGGAGGCGCAGTCTTCCAGGAGCGCGTTTGCAGAGAGGGAGAGCGGAGCGGGGAGGACCGGAGCCGAACGGAGCGCGTCTCTTCCAGACCTGACGGAGGGACTTCACCATCGACTACCACAAGGGTAAACTCTCCTCACCATACTTCATACATGATCATCTAGTTCATAAGGACACTTTTAAAATAATAGGATGGAGCGGCGACCTTCATCAAAGTTAGGGGTCTCCGGGAAGGTCTTTATTAACACAGCCTACGTTATTACCAATTTTTGTATTATTATTATTGTGGTTTATTTCTTGTAGTAACACACGTGTGAAGTGAATGAATTCTAAGCGCCAACTGAGTGATAAATTTCACGTAAAAAAAAAAAAGGTCACTGTACTGTTTGTTTTGTTTAACGTTTGTTTCTCCAAATCTGAATCTTTAAAATCTATTTCTGCAGTAGGCAATATAGGAGAAGTGCTTGTCGTTTATTGTGGTTTATTATATCTCGCCATTCGTGGCAACTAATTCCTGTCCACATCTCCCCCCGGTAGGTTTCTCGATGCGCCCTTCGTGCGTAACGCACAACGTCTCCAAAGCATTCTACAATTACTGCATGGAAAACTGCATAAAATCTAAAGAGAAGATACGGGACAAGGAGCTGGAGGATCTTTACTTAACTAGGAACAGAAAGGCATCGAACATTGGGAAGGCATTTTCCAGCTTTTTAAATTAGAAAACAAGCAAAAACCAAGGGAATATTGATAATGAATCATAAATGACTCTAAACTCAACACAATTGAAGTCGGATGTTTGAAGAGCGTTTACACCATGGGCACTAAAAAAATATATTTTAAGATAACGTTTCATCTATTTTTTTATTCAGAAGGATGTAAGCTACATCTTACTGGGTTTAAAAATTAAATTATGGGCTTTAAATTAGCAGACTAATTTTACCCATAATACTTGCCTTAAATCTCTTGCTCCTGAGTGATGAAAAAAGGACTGATCCTTTATTAACCTGACCTTTTTTCTTCTCTGCTGCTATTTTTTTTTTTTTTTATGATTAAAGAAGGGAAATGATTAAAGATGTATAAGGGAAGATGTTAGAAATCAAGCTTAAATTCAGTTCTATTTTTCATGAGTTTTTGTTCGTTGTTGAAATGGACTTATTGATATAGCCTTAATCTAAGCTCTCATATCCGTGGAAACATGGAGAGCATGGAGAACGTGTCTGTTCCCAGTGGTGAGCTGTCAGTGTATAATGACTCTGTGGATCTTTACTCACTTTCACTGGGAAACAACACCCACTCGAACTACGTTCCCTACTTCCACGGTGACCTGTACATCATTTTACCAATCATCTATTCTGTGATCTGTGCTGTGGGACTAACAGGCAACATGGCTGTCATATATGTTATCCTCAAAGCTCCTAAAATGAAAACAGTAACCAACATGTTCATCTTGAACTTGGCAATTGCAGATGATTTGTTTACCCTAGTGTTGCCGATTAGCATTGCTAATCATCTGCTGAACTACTGGCCTTTCGGGGAAGTTTTGTGCAAAGTTACCCTAAGTATAGACTTCTACAACATATTCTCCAGCATCTATTTCCTGACAGTAATGAGCATTGATCGGTATCTGGTTGTTTGGGCGACAGTAAGGTCCAAGCGCATGCCATACCGCACCTACAGAGCTGCTAAAATCATCTCTTTCTGTGTCTGGCTCCTTGTGATCCTCATCGTTATGCCCTTCACCATTTTTGCCGGTGTCGATGTGAATCCATACGATGGAAGGAAGAGCTGTGTGCTGATGTTACCAGATCCTGAGAATTTGTGGAACAAAATGAGTCGTATCTACACACTCATTCTGGGCTTTGCTATTCCAGTCTCAACAATCTGCATCTTGTACACCATGATGCTCTACAAGTTGCGGAACATGAGGCTAAACAGCAACGCCAAGGCTTTAGACAAGGCCAAGAAGAAAGTCACCATTATGGTCTTCATCGTCTTGGCTGTGTGCTTGTTTTGTTGGACACCGTTTCACCTTAGCACCATTGTGGCATTGACCACAGACCTGGAAAACACACCTCTGGTGATTGGGATCTCCTATTTCATAACCAGCTTAAGTTACGCCAACTCCTGTCTCAACCCGTTCCTGTATGCCTTTCTGGACGACAGCTTCAGGAAAGCTTTTAAAAAGATGATGGAATGCAGACCAGCCTGAATGTGAAAAAAATTTAACCTGTTACAGAAGTCTTTATTGTATTTCAAGTTAAGCAGGTAAAGAATGTGGCTTCAATTTAAAAAGTTTTCTTTAATGTTTAAAGCTAATCTCCCGAGGGGTTTGCTGCAAGTTCAAGCTACAGTTCGTATTTTTTCACAATGATTTCATTTTAAACATATGCATACAGCCTTATCAAGTATAACATAATTTTTTGAAGTTAATTAGATAATAGTTTATTTTTCATGAAAAAAATCAGTTTGGATCTTCAATTTGCATTATCCATGTGGTAGCACTGGAAGCAATTCAAAGAACATTTTACTTTAGCAACAAGCTTAAAAGTCTTCTCGTTCAGAACAAGAAACACTTTGCCTCACGCATTTTTCATAGCTGTGAATGCTAAAAAAAACAAAAAAAATGACATAAAATGGATTATATATTGTTTTGAATAGATTACAATTGCTGGGATAATAGACAGTAGCATTAAAAAAGGAAAGAAAAAAAAAAGAAAAACAAAAAATGGTATCTTTCAATGTAAATATGGTCCAGGAAACTTTACCGGACATTTGTTTCAGCAGACTAAAGATAAGTCTGGAGGGGACCAAACATGGGTTCAACACCTTCAGTGAAACTTCAGTATCATAACAAGTCAGATTTGGTATAGTTGTATGGGTAGTATAATTAAATTATTGTTTTTACAAGTTCTTTATTTTGAATATATCAACCTGTATGGGGATGTCTATTTTAGTTTTCCTAAAGAGTCATGTCAGAGGAGCCAATAATATGAAATATTAACTCGACTTTAAGATTAATTATTTTTATCCCGTTTATTATTCAACTAACTGAATAAAAACAGAAACAAATAAACCATTAATTCTTATTTTTTTTTGAAAATATGACAATTTTTAAAAGTTCAGTGGATTTCTCTAATGTGTGTGGATTTGTGTGTCTGTTCTTTATCGTTTATGTAAATTGTTTCTGTATTCAGAAACTCAGAAATGCACCTTAGCGACCCTGGCAGCTGTACTGTAAGCCTAACATAACAGGCATGGGACAGGAGGGCTATGTAAAATCTTGTCTATTTCTCTGAAGAGTTAATTGTTTTTGTGGGCTTTTGTTGCCCCCTGTTGTTGACAGAGTGGTATGACTTGAAATGCAGTTAGAGCCATTAACTGAGAAGCCTTTCACTACTAAATAGATGCAGTGTGTCCTTCATCACTGAATTGGTAATTGGGTGATAAAGGACACATGCACATCTGTAATTTCATTAATTGTTCTTTAAACATATCTATTTGGAACTCAAGTTTTCTGTATAGATTGGTGTTAACATGATGTCATATTTACAGTTTCGGAAACTAATAAACAAATCTTTAACTGAAACTATGAGAGTCATAATTAAATGCCTTTTATTCAATTATGACCTCTATTCAGTTAATGGGAGTCTGTATAACAACCTTTTTTTCTGCTCAAAACATCTGAATTCTCCAACAGTTTAAGAGGATGTTCTAGATTATATGGCTCTGACTGGATCAACATACTTATGAATACTGTAAAAGAGTCATTTTTGTAATTATTTGTACAGAAAAATGTATAGTTATTGCATTATAATATAATAAAAGCTCAAGAAAATATTATTAATAATAAATGAATGTGGTGTCACATGAAAAAGCAATTAACTGAGTTTCTCCTGAATAGTTATTTAATAAACATTGGTAAAACAAATCATGGCATGTTATGCGAACTGTTTATGTTGGAGCTTTCCTTAGTTCCCAATAACTTAATAAATTTAACTTTATTTTGCCAGCTAAAACCCTGTATTTTTGAATATTGATCTTTTATTTTTGGGGCAATAATCAGAATTGTGCAGAAATGTTAGATTTTTTATAGTTCCAGTGTACAATAAAATCACATGAGAACACCTCAATGGAGAGTCATTTCTGTTCTGAAAAGGACAAAGGAGTTAAATTATGTCAGAGTGACAAGATTAGATATTGGAGGGTCATGTCAGTGAAAGGACACAAGGTCAGTTGCCATAGCAGCTTGCACTGTCCAGGATGTGCTGCTAGTGATAAATCCCACTCAGGAAATAAACCAGTTCTTTAAAATCATGATCAGCTTTACCAGAAAGTACATGCTGATTAACACAAAACACATGTTGAAGAGTTAAAATTACAAGCACCTATTGCATGCTATAATTAAGAGACATCAACCTGCAAGAGTTTTAGTGCCCCGATCAGTTTGTGCAAAATGCATTGAAAAAAAATATATTTTTTTGCTTTATTATAATCTTATACTGGATATTTTTGAAGAAATCCAACTATTCATCCAATTGTTTATTAAGAATGGGAGAAATCCAACTCTTCTATGTTAAGAAATATTTTTCTTATGCACAGCACTACAATTATATGTAGTCCTGCCTTTAATACTCTATTCAGCCGAACTGCTGCCTGCAGTACTACATCTAAGGTGGGTCAACATTAGAAAAGTTAGTGACTCAGCTCAGTTTGACAGGAATTTCCAATTAATTTCTTTAGAATTTTGTTTTTCTTTCACTTCACTTTTAACCCTAGATTAAAACTGTTGGTATATTAGTTGCAATAAAACACTACAACAAGTCCTTTGCTTTTCCATTTCAATTACACTACATTAGAGCTCTTATGCAATTGAACTGAAAAAAAAAGGTTTTCAGATGGACTGGATGTTATTTTTCTTTGCCCACTAAGTTTTGGAAAGCTTTCATACTATGAGCCTGCTGTCAGAGGAAACAAGCTCTGTTTGAATTATATTTGACTGATTATTTAGGACCTCTAGTTTGGTCTAGAGTCCAGGTCTCATACTGCTTAGGTCTTAACAAGATGAGGAATACTAGTAATAGATTGGTCTCTTAAAACATCTGTTAATTTGAGCCGATAGTTTGGATAGTCTTCCTTCTGGAAGAGCATTTAATGACTGATGAATAGAATTGTATTTTTGTTTTTTATTTAAAAAGTCCTGCTTTAGAAAACTTCATGATGCCAATAGGATTTTCAGGGCATTTTTGTCATTTTATGTCAATAATGTCCTTAAAAGACTGTAGAAAAAAATATTCATATATTTAAAATGTAGCAGAACATTACTTTAAATTATGCTGCCTTAAAGAACACAACTACTGAAACCTACTCCATTTCTGATTTTAAATACACGATTAAACTGAATATCGTTCAAGGCCCCTGCAGATTTGCCCAGCTTATATTTAACCAGTTTATGTTTAGGGTATTTAATAACTGATTATCTACACTAATAGAGTATATTCATACAATTATAATTGGATGTGCAACAAAAAATAAAGACCTATTCTGTCATAAAACTGGACAGATGGACCCCAGTATTCAAGGTGAGACAGCCAAAGTTCAAAAGGTTTATTAAAACAAAAACAGAACAGAAATGTGCTGCTGTGGAACTGCGACCGCAGCAACTGCAGGTGAGGAGCGCAACCCATCACTGATTCTATAGAGAGAAACACAGGTAAGTGACCATGATCATCTGAACAGAAGATGATAGCGTGAGTCAAAGTATAGTCCACTCAGGAACAGACAGATCCAGGTTCAAGGAATCCATCAGAGCACGAGGACAGGTTTAGAGTCCTGTGCACCTTGGAGGCAAAATCCAACAGGAATCTAACAGAGGGTCAGGCGAGCAGACCAGACAAGGCCAGTGGATGAGAGGGAATGGAATCAGGAAAAAAGAATCACTAGAGCAGGGGTCTTTAACATTTTCCAGGGCAAGGACCCCCAAACTGATGGCAAGATGGAGCAGGGACCCCCTAATTATATATATTGTATGTAATTGTGTTATATCAAACTGGTCCTATGGTAACTCTATTACATGTGGAGTAATGTAACAAAAGTAATTTCGCACTGGGATTATTAAAATATTTCTGTTTCGGATTCCTAGTTGATGGGACAGGTGTTGTGAATAAAACGGTGCCTAGTTTGAAAGAGCTCCTGTGTGTTGCTGAATGTGTGCATTGATAACTTAAGGACATCTTCTGCCTCAATTGATCTGTTTACTACAGTGTGTTGAATTTATATTAATGTGTATGTAAAGACATTTCAATTAGTGGAAAAAATTGCATGGGGGAATATGAAAAAATAAGTAATCAACCAAAACTTTTGTGACCCCATCCAGTACCTTAAGTATCCTTAAGACCTTTGCACTAGGGAAATGCTGAAAGTATGGAAGAGGATTAAGGCCACAGAAAAAAAAAAAAGGTTAACTGATTTTTTAATTTTATTTCAGTTTAACAATGGAAAAAAGTCAGAATTCTGACTTTTTTCCCCGTACTAAACTGAAATAAAATTTAAAAATCAGTTAACTTTTTTTTTTTTCCACTGGCCCTAATCCTCTTGCGTATGAAAAGCTCTCATCAACTGGTTAGGGAAATAACTTGCCTGAAGACACTGGCTTAAGAATAAACTCCTGACTGGAAAAGGGACAATAAACCTGGATCTGAATAAAATTAACAAAAGTGAGTAACCAGAGAGACAGAAATCAAAAAGAGAACAAACAGCAAACAAACATTGACCAGCCCTGATAGCTGGAACTGAGCCCAATATGAGGGAAACCTGCAGGTGGATGAGATAAGTGATAATTGGGAGCTGGAGACAGTTAAGCAGGTGAGTAATTAAGGTGAGCTATTAGGGCAGATCATGACAACTACAAACAGTTTTTTGCATTTCTTTGAAATGTGTGGTTTAAATTGCATAAATGATATAATTTTTTGCAGTGTTTGGAGCCATACCATTTATAACAATTTGTTACAGTAGTTTTGTACATTGTATTTCACATAGTTTTTGTTAGTTCCTCTACACACCATGGATGGGTCAGTGGATTCATAATGCTCTATATTGCTACAAGGTGTTAGTAAAACTACAAAAAAAACATATCTTTTTTTTCATCATTTTTTCCAGGTTTTCTTAGCAGGATTGACTTGACTTCCTCTGTAAACCTTTTTTTTTTTTTAAATAAATTTAAAAAAATCTTACCTTTACAAGACAGCTACAATGTTTTACATCTGGTGTTAGGTGTGAGATAACGTAATAATATTATCATTTAGAGGCTAATCTTAGTGTTGGGATCGTTAAGATTACTTTCTTATTCACCTGTTCACACCAAGCCTAGTGCTTCTTATTTGAGGCAAAGTTTTCCTGTGTGTTATTTTGTGCACATAGATAATCCAATTTAGGCTTTCCTTCACATTTTTACCCTAGGACTTTATGATATGTAAAGGAGAATGAACCATGATGCTGTCTGCTAATGGTTGATTGCTTTGACGGTTAAGTTGTTGGAACCCCAGTAAAACCACCATAAACTCACCTGATAGAGGAAAACGATACCAGTCAGGAATTTAGCTCAGTGTTCTTAATTAACATTGATTCCTTTTGATCTTAGTCACTCACTCCACATAATTGAATCTTTATTTTATATTTAAGTATTATTTGCACAAAACATTTTCTCTGGATATCCAACAGATTTTCACTAAAAGCTAAAAAGTTAAATTTTTTTATGCAGCTAAAAATTGTAAAAACACAATTCTTCACACTGTGTGTCTGGTGATTTTAATTTAACACTTAACAGCCTATAAATCAGTTTAAACCTTATTTTCTATATTTATTTGATACTGGAATCAAACAATGCAAAATGTGAGACGTGGGCTGTGTCCAAACATGGAGTAACTACTCCTGTAACTATTACTACTTGGCACTAGAGGGCAGTGTTGTTGTTTGCAAATCTACATTACAGGGTCAGTCATCGAACAATACTTTTATGTATTTATTTGGAACAAACTGCATATTGAGATGTGATATACCTCAGAGCAATTATTTATACATGTCTGCTTCTGGCTGTCTGTTATACTGGAGTGTTTCCTCAGGTGCAGACCTTCCTTATTCACTTCAGTCAAAATGCAAGGAACTCACCTAACAATAAACTAGCCTGGAGTCATAAAACTACCCCTCTTTAAAGCAAGGATTTGAGCAGAATCTACCTGCTGTGGAGACCAAGATTGTTTAGTGAAGTGGATGCTTCTGAAGACCTTTGGATTCTTTTTTGTTGTTGTTTTTTTGCTATGTTGGAGACTGCCATTTTCTGTGGCATACTGTAGTTTGTTCAATCAGCAGCTTATCTACACCTAAGTGATTGTTAGATAAGCTTATCAGAAAGAACAGCTCTGTCCTAAAATGTACCCTGGATTCAGGTGGTGGGATACAGAAGGACTGTGGCTATAATAACACCACTGCTGGAAAATGTCTCTCACTGAATGCATGAAGCTATTACAGAGCTGGAGAGCTCATTCAGTGACAAACTGCTGGATCCCCAAAAAATCCAAAGAAGACTGTTATGTACATTTTCTACCCCCAGTGTGGCTACATGCTTCCATTTTCTTCAAATTTTCATCAAGGGCACATACATTTTCCCACTGAGGCACAATAAAGGTTATTTCTATTCCATTCTATTCTACCGATAAGTAAAAACCCATTGAAGATATTTCCCATGTGGGCTGTTTGCATGTTAAGGTGCACCATGGGACTGATCCTAGCTACGTGTGAAGAGACAAGATAACAGCTCTTGGCTTTTTGTTTTTACTCCCAGAATTTTATTGGTTGAAAAAACAAACAAGGCATTTGCTTGACAGTCAATTTTAAGATTACCTTAGTCATTAGGCTTTTCAGGCAAGCAGGTTATTGATTCAAAATTAATCACTCATAATAACAAAATTCATTCACTCTCTCATTTATCACATATGCCTGTTAACAGCAATAGTTAGGGGAAGTTTTGTAGCAGCTTTAATTAGCCACTAAATATGCTAAACACAACCTTGCATTTCAAAAAGAGAAGCAGCATATGTTTGACACTGATTTTGAACCTTTTTTTACAGGGGTGCTC